CGGTTACAGGGTGAGGGAGCCAAGGGAGCCGCCTGCTCTCCCCTTTCCTGCTCCAGCCTCACACCTACCTTGCATGGCAGCCTGCAGGGCCATGGCCAGCAGGCAGGGCACCACCGTCTGGTGGTAGTACCAGCAGCCCTCAGCGTCCCACTGGCACTGCAGGGCCACGCGGTGCAGGCTCTGGCACACGCAGACCACATCTTGGGTGCTCCCGGCCTCGCTCCCTGCGGGGCACAGTCCAGTCACACCAAACAGCCGCCGCACCCGGCATCCGCTGCCCTGACTTACACTGGGGTGCTGGGGCAAGGCAGCCCTCCCTGCTCCCCCTCCCCCGGTGGGACCCACAGCCCTGCCCCAGGCTCCGGCCCATGCGCTCCAGGAGCCATCTGCTGCAGGCTTCGTTACCTCTCTGCACCTTGCGGAGGTGCTGCAGCAGGACAGGGACGGTCTCCCTCACGATGCTGGTGTGGGTGGACACGGCTGCCAGGGCCTGCAGGCAGCGCTGACGCAGGGAGCTGCGGTCACAGGAGCTCTCCTCCTCCCGCTCTGAAGAGGAAACACCTCAGAGGGGTGCTGGGTTGACCCCAGGTCCCCTCACCCAGGGGCATTCTGGGCTCAGACCCTGCCAGGGCAGACAGGGTAAAAGAGCACAGCAGAATGAGCCGGAGCCAGGCCCCAGGCACATTGCCTGCTCTGGGGCTGCACAGCTGCTCCCCACGAGGCTGATCCTGGCTGCGCGGGCTGGTTGCCAGCACCAGGCAACGGCTTTCCCTGTACCAGCACAGAAGTGACTGTACTGGGAATCCCCCAAAGGAAGCCACCGACCTACACTATATGGCACAGCCCCACTGCCTGGTAGGAGCGGAAAAGGGATGGGACAGGCTTCACCCCAAAACCAGACATCACTGCCTTCCCAAGGCTGCCAGCCCTACCTGAGTGCAGCTCCTCCTCCAGCCTGGGTACCATGCGTCCAGAGAAAACCTTTGGGTAGATGGGGGCCAGGTTTCCGGCTGCCTCCATCGCTGCCTCGCTGTTGGAGGGAAGAAGTGCGAGGGGTGACGTGAACCTGCAAACCCAGGGCTGCCTGTGCATGAGCTGCACAGAGCTGGGCCAGAAGGTGCCTTCAGGAACCCATTTCTCAGCAATCTGCCTTCTTCACCTTACTGGCAAGCAGAGCACAGCCCCCTACTTTGACAAGCCCAGATTTTCTAATTTCCAGTCGATAAATTGCCTGGTTTATCCCTTTGCTCTTGCACCCACAGGGTCTTTTAGTTCAGACAGCTCCTGTGCCTTCCCCTAGACTACAGGCCCTCTCTGCAGCAAAGCCAAGGCTTTGTTCCTCTCCTGGGAGTGTGGGTGACTGCTGTGGCATCAGCCTGTCCCTCCCACCTGCTCTGGGAATCCTCTTCATGCAGAGCAAGACGGATGAGGTGATCCACCACCAGCTCCAGGTCAGAAGGAGACAGAAAGCCTAGAACAAGAAGCATAGAAGAATCCTGACATTGGTCAAAGGCAAAGATGCTGGTGCTCTGGCCAGCATCTCTCCCCCTCGTCCAGGCTGGCAGCAACACAGCAGCATCCTGAAAGCCAGAGATACAAGGTGCCCAGCACACACAGACAGGACAGACACCTGGAGATCACTGCCTGTGTAGAAAATGCTGCCGCTGCTCCTGGCACCTACAGGCAGCAGGCAAGGACATCCCAGCAGGCATATGGTAACATGCCTCCCAGAACAGGGGGACACCTCCCTCTGCCTTCCCAAGGGAAACAAGGCACCAACCTTGCAGGGAGCCCAGGACAGTCAAGGCCCTGATCCCAACCAGCTGCAGCTGCACACTGGGATCTGTCAGTGCTGAGAACACCACAGAGCAAACTGGGGCTTGGAGCGACAGCAGAGCACTCTCATCTGGAGAGAAAGTCACAGAGTCACTGTCTGCGCCTGGCTGGCACCTCCTGCGCCACCTGACAGACCCTTTCTGGGGTCCTGCCAGTTGACACCCAACTGTGCAGGGTCCCCGATTCATGGCAGGGGGTCGCACAGGCAGCCACCCAGGACAGTGAGCTTTCCCTCTGTCAGCACACGGGAAGGTGAATTCAGAGCCAGCAGCACCCTGGGACATGGGTGCCTCCAGAGGCATCGGCAAGCCTCACCTTCTTCTATGTGTCCCCATTTCTGCTGCAACTCCAGGAAGCCCAGCAGCATCTCCAGGATTGTCCTCCTCTGGCTGCTCTGCAGGGGCACAAAGGTGTAACCCAGATCACCGTCGCTGCTGGGACACAGCTACGCCTCAGCCCAGAGCTGCGAGGCCGGAGGGTGCCCACGAGGCCCCTGCCTGCAGCCAGGGAAGGACACCTGCTTCAACGCCCTGCTCCCACCAAGCCCTGCCGAGCCAGCGGGGCC